AAATGATGAAAAATAAAATTTCCGCCTTACAAAAAATTACTACGGTATATATATATTTTTTTTTTCTCGGCTAAAGATTTCATAAATAACTCAACGTTACATTTGTCCATTTGATGACATAACTTTGTGAATTACATCTACCTGCTTTGGCTAATTGATATGTCTGACCATTAGCAATCCTGACAATCTGTTCGAAGGTGATCCCTATGATATCTTGTAGTTGAGTACCAACCGGGAGATGTATCCACTCTTTAGTATTCCTTCCAAATCGATAGTGTTGCAATTTGTCATATGAGGTTACAAATTTTCATAGAATGTGACGTAGTGGAAGAAAAAATAGATGGAATTATGTTATTTAGTCTCAGAATACGTAAGAATAAGTGTTTTCTGGATTGGTTGAAATCTCTTAAGATTTGTCGAAAACAAGGTTACAAAATACTTCTAAAAACTCCATAATTAATTATAATAACAATTGAATATAATTGGAAGGAGAGTTGGAGTACGTGGAATCGGTAGCGCCCAATTACATTGGACTTCGGAGGCCTCTTGAAGGTGCGGCATAGCTGCTTTCGCTACGGTCCGTGGTTGTCTTCAGTTCTAGTTCCAATGGTAAGTTTTTGCCTCAATTTACCGTGACTAAAGCCTGTGATGAATAATATCAATGGTTGGAAATGCAAGTAGTTGAAGACTCGCTACAACTCGTTTGTTTATCTTGCATTCTCTTTTTGATGTAATTTGTAGTAAAGGATTGGTGATTCGATCTTATGGTCATCACTGTCAAATGTTTTGATCCTTGATCTCTCTTTGGGGATTGCATTTTATATGTGGTTTATCCCACCTTGATGTTTAATATATATGATATTCAGATGCCAAAAAAAAAAATAGAAGTATAAACGGCTTATTTAAAAAAAAAAAAACCTAAAACCCGAGAAAACTATAAAATATTAGATTATTTACTTCTAAAGGTATTTTTCTACAAACATATATCTATTTAAGATACTTTGGAAGTAAGGTATACTTTTTTGGTGGTTAATATCAATTATACATTCAACTACACCTTTTCCCTCATTTTGTACTTTATGCAGCTAAAACTTAGAGCATGTCCATCGGGAGCTATACACTGGTGTTCTAGACATTTTTGGGATTAAATTTTAATGAAAAATTAAAAATAAGTTGAGAACATGTTCTGAAAACAGAACTTGTAGAGCATTTCACAACACTTCAGAACACCATACGTGGGTGTTTCTGATTGGTTGAATTTATGAAAAAAAAAAAAAACACAATTAACATCGACCTCGTCTCTCTCTTTGGCGATTCAGGAAAAGTCCCTTCGATCATCTAATCGGAACTCCGACTCTTCTCCTCTAATCGGAACTCCGATAAAGTCCCTTCGATCATCTCTCTCAAAAGCTTATGTTTCTCCGGCGGCTACATCGTTCTCCGATCTAGGGTTAGTGTTTGCATGTTCTTCGATCTAGAGTTAGCGAAGA